GATTAGTGCTCTGTAACCATCCGAAATTACAAAGCCAGCCAATGTAATCAAGAGGGTGAATGGTTTATGTCATGTTACGTCTTCCATGTTTAAAAAATAATAGATAGATACATAGATTAAAGTATACTTTACAGCACATCAGGGAGAACATGAAAAATTTTATGATTTTGAAATCTTACCTCTTTTTCATAACTTCTATATTTTACTGTAGCTCGTGCGAGAGCCTGACTTTACATGAAAATCGATTTAACGAGTACTATGGAATTCAGTGTTTCCAGTCACGGGTTACATCACGCCTAGTGGTAATAATGTATGTTGAGCTTTAATTACATTCAAATCTACCTATATTAGCCTACGGGCATGTAATAACTCATTTACTTCGAAACACTAACGATTAGATTGGCTTAGTAATAGAACTAGTGTGAATGATACTCGCTGTGGAAGGTCAAAACCAATCACAAGTGGAGTAGTGTCATTGGGGTTCTAAAAATAAAACGTGGATGTGTAGCCATTACATCCTGGTACAGTGGTACCTATATAAGCTATGGATGTTTAAATAGCCATTAATATGCCTCGTCAAAAATGAAAACATTGTATTCGGAGAGAGGGATTCTGGGCGAGAGATTTATACTGAGATTAATGAATGACAGCAGCTTCATATGTGATTGATTTGTAAACACCAATATGCATATAATGCATATTTTTATACCTATAAATGGTATAGCTATAATAGGCATACTTTATACGTATAATAGGTTTATATATTTATTGATGTTTTTAATCATTCTGAATTACTATTTCTTAAATATTACTATCTCAGGAGCTGGTATCACCAGAAATTATGACCAAGACCTGTTGTTTATTGCACAACAAATTATTTTGAAGCTTTCGCAGACCCAGCGGGATTTAATTGAATTAGTATTCATAAAGTACGATCGAAATAATGACAAAAATTTGACGACCGGATGGCATGGTGGTTTGTGTAACGGACTGCTATTCCAAAGGTCACAGGTTCGATTCCCGCTCAAGTCAAACGTTTGTGTGCATGAACATTTAATGTTTGATTTGGTCTGGGTGTTTCTATGAATAATATGTATGTATTTACAAAAAAAAAAGTATATATGTATTTATATCAGTTGTCTAGTACCCATAGCACAAGCTCTGTTTAGTTTGGGACTAGATGGCGTTGTGTGAATGTGGTAGAAAAAAAAAAAAAAACCGGAGTAATAGTGACGATCTGCGTACCTGTTGTTGATGAAGTTTAATAAAGTAAGTAATTTGATTTGACAACAGTAAATGTGCTGCGATAGCAGGCTCATTAACCTGATTATTTATTCATACGTATTCATAATCTATTCCTTGATTCTACGATTTTCCTTATCGCTCCAATCAATTAATAACGACCATATTCTGTATCCATAGAAAGTAGCTATGTTAAGCGATATCACGTACTTCACTATGCACTGTAACGTAGAACAACGACTATATCATATACAATCATACACGATCTCTTATCTCATATCCAACTATAGACAGATCATTGACCTTTCTCAATGTAAAGTTAACGGTGACAGAAAATGATACTCTCAGATACAAGAACTTGCTTAGCGAAGAACATCCAGACAAGTACTTTTACACTAACGTTCATTCGATTTGCCATTTCCTCGAAAAACCTTTTTGGTTTCTTAACTAACCAACGACTCGTACGACCGTAAACATCTAAACAGTAAGTTTGGTCATGTTCAGGAAGTACTAAGACGCAACCATCACAGTTTGCGAGAAATTTCGAACAATTTAGATTAGTAGGTACTGGTGATTTTTTTTAAATCTTAAAGGCAGGACAGGAACGCAGAACACACCAGTATAGTTTTAAGATCATGACCCAGAGTACAAAAAAAACCCTTAGGTTAATAAATCTGCGATGGCAGGCATTAAATCCTATTGCGTCATGTAAAAATATAAAAACTCAATCAGAAAGATAAATATATCAGATATACCTGATATTGATTACCTGGAAGCACTTAATTAGCAGTTGCTTTCGTTACAGTAATCACGTGCGCCACTATATGGAAAATAACAAGAAAATAAATTAAGAAATGGATAGTAATTTACATCTCATGTAGTCCGTTCATGATTAACTAGTTCGTCTAAACAAAGTCTTGACTGATGATCTATAATGAAACCAAAAGTAACTGCTTCAGAAACATGACCTCTTAATCTTATTCCACTTGTTTTATTATTTTAGTAAAGAAATGTAGGTATATTTTAAAATCCTAGTGTCATGTTTGTCTTTTATACAATAGAGTTATAGGAATTTATAATACTAATCATTTATACTAAATAATCTGTAATAACTGAACGATTGCTCCTTCATATTTAGAGTTAAAGCCGTTTTTAAACCCGGTTTAACAATAATCCGACTCGAAAACGAATTTCTTCTGCTAGATCAAAATTAAATGAAACATACAATCTTCTATGAAGTAAAGTTTTATATGATACATCATAGGAGTATGTTGATAACAACGGAAAAGGGGAATCCCAAGTTAAAACCAAATATTCTTATCAGTCGTTTGTGTATATAAAAGCATTAATCAAATAAACATTTAGCTGAGTAAATATTCGTAGAAACTAAAGGTTAGTAGTATCACCTTCAAATAACATGAGAATATGTACTTTAAATGTAGTTCACTACACGAATTTAAAGAGTTAAAGACTTTCCACTCACTAGCTTATCAAATGATAAGTAGGCACTTATAAGATAACAATTGACTCATTACAATAGTATTCTTAGGGTCATAACTTTTTAATTAGTTCTTTTTTTTTCCAACGAAATCTTGCAGCTTGAGTGAATTCATTTGATCTAGATGTTAAGACTTGGTTTAACATACTCGTATAACATTATAGATAGATTTTTTTCCAATCGAATATAAAAACTGTTCAAACAATGGATGACCTATTTTTGATTCAAATTTGGATGCTACAAAAAGCAAATAGATATCTACTCTCCTAAATTAAAAAAAGAATAGCAAAATCAGTCTATTAATGACTTGAATAAGTTTTAAATAAAATAAGTAAACTACATTGAGCCTCCTCCTTTTTTGGAAGTTGTTTAAAAAATCATATTGACAGAAATAACAGTCAATAATTGCGTGATGCACCATTACATGATTACTGTTTCACCATTGAAGTGCAACGCTCGGTAAATAACACTTTATCAGTCATATAGAATAGTGTGATAAAGTCGGCTTCTATGTCAATAACCTAGAGGCCAGTTCCATGGAAGTCATCCAAGTGCTAACTAAAAACATCTAGCTATTTGTTTTGTTCTATTATGTTTTTACTCCCCATGACTTCCGTATCAGAAATGTTGACGGCAAATTAACCCTGTAAGCTCTTAGGCATAAAAACTCGTGCCTACTTTAAAGTGCATATTAAACGTGCTTTCCTAGTCTGTTGCCTAGCATATTCGTTCCATGGTTTAGGGATAAAGGATTGTGAAATCAAATTTTTCTACATCAAGTCCTATCTCTGAAATACCATTATAAGAATTTTGTTTCAAACCCAAATTCAAAATTATTTATTATGCTATTTAATAAATTTTGCTATGACAGTCTATCACACTTTTCAAAATACCAAAATAAACCTACGGTTATTGTTATTGCATTGCGGTATGATATCATAAAGCGCACACCAATTCTCCTAAAAGTATAGCGGTCATAGGTATATAATCGTGCAACACGTATGGAGTAACAAAAAGACGTCAACGAACTACAATCACGGCAACGGTACCCAAGAGTAAAGACTTTTAGCAAAACACATAACAAGTAGCACATAGAATATAACAAAAATGTTTATTACTATTTAATACAATTCGAAAAAAATCATAAAACGCCTTCCTGTGTATTCCGAAAGTGCGCAAAATTACGACAGAAATGTAAATAAAGATAAAGGAATTTCATACCACAGGTGAGGGATTGTTGTAAAATGCGTTAATAGATGTAGGTATGTACAGTTACGGTACAAATATGTTAATAGGGCGGTATGAAGATCTTATAAGCGGTATGATTTCTTAAAATATAGCTAATTGTAATCAAATCTTAAAAATTAGTAAAATTTTACCTATAAAATATATTATTCCCTTTAATTACTGATGACATTTATTAATTAACTTCATTATATGTATATTAGAACAATTCATCATCATCATCATCAACAGATATTTCATTTATTTATTGTGGTTATCGGTTCCCTTAAATCAGATTAGTATATAGAAGTAGAATTTCATCCCAAGCAACTAGAAAATATTGCAAATAAGAAATCCACAGATAACAAAGTAGCTTAGGTTGTTAAATGGGAAGGTCTGTGATCATAATTGAACACAGACATGCTAAAATTACCAACTACTTGTCAATTCTTTTACCATGTACCTATTTAATATAGAAATAGTAAAAGTGAGAAACGTAGAAAGCCTTATATAATTTCGAAAAACATGGACAAACGGATTGGGCTGTTTTGTTCTATGTTTCTGTTTCATACTTTATTAACAAAATCGTTGAACCATGATCTTTCCTAATAAAAATTACTTACATAACAATCAAGATTTAGTATCATAAATAACTTTTATTTCGATTTGTGTCGTAATACGCCTAATTGATACTCCAATTAAAGCAATTAAATATCAACCAAACCAGCGGCACAACATGACTAACATCTGTTTATAACTAATCTATAGTATAGCCTATAATTAATATAATCGTCCTAATACCCACCTCAGGGCCAACCATCCAAAATAAAATAAAACATTTTCTCGAACCATTAAAGATAATTGATTTGACCGTTCATAAAAAAATAAAAAGCCATAATTATCGACAGGTCGTTAAAGTCTAATTTATCCACGTGGTTCAAACAAAAATAAATTTACTTTCTTCAGAATATAAAGGGTTCCGATCGGCATTAGTCACTTGATAATAACAATTTAATCTCTTTTAAGTTATGCTTACCGGATTTGCCACATCTTGCACTCCCCAGCACCACAACTCTTATTCGATTAACAGTCATCTTCATTAGTCCGTTTAAAAAGTCACTGCACTTACTGTTAAAAAAATATGTGCATCTAATTCTAACAGTTGTAAATCGTGTAGGTTTTAATTTACGGTATATTAGATTTGCTAATAAGATCGCGTTGGCGGCAACATCAGCTGTTATTCAAAGATGGCGGACGCACGCGCGCACAACGCACCTGCTTGCGAGCGACTGCCGTCAAACGAAATTGGCGCAAGGCGCATTCAAGCACGTCTATTATAGTGACTGTAGTGAGAGACATTTAAATACAGTCATTTATCTTTCAACTTTTTTTATTACAGGATTGGGTGCATCGTTCGGTAGTAGTATAAGTCAATTCATGAGAATCAACTGATTGTCTATTAATTCGCAGACAGTGATTTGTACTCAAAACGTCAACACACTAAACCATATAGAAGACCCAAGAACAAAATAATTCTCCCCTAATTTATAGAACGTGATGTTGCAAATTATATTATAATTATACTGATCTATTGTGAACGTTGAATAATTATTATCAGTGCTTACAATTTACAGTTCATAGTTTTAATTGAGATTCATGAGAATTTGATTCATTATAGCCTACCTAGATTTAGTTACTAGGTTACAGTTGTAGCGTGATGAAATATGCACTCGTAGCGTGCTTTATACCTTGGAAAGTTAGACCGTGTTAACAACTGTTAGTGTAATTGGGCTAATGATGATTGGCTATGGCTATATTTCTTTTCTGTTCTACAATTCCGAGCGAAGTTCCAAAAAACTTTGCTGTTTGTACAAAAAAAAAACATGACATCCGGAATTTTCACAAGTGATCTGCGTAAGTTGTGTCTTGTAATATAGGGGATCTGTCATGCTATCGGCCATCGGCGAATATTACGGTTAAGAGAGCAGACAGTGCACTTAATCCGTGAAATGTATGCCAACAACCAATACGCATAGACATGTGATATGATATAATGTACAGTCGCCTCCAACAGTGGTAAATTCAAGTAAATTCGACTTGAGTTTTGTTTAAATAGGTACTTGAAATGTATGTAAATTAATGTAAAATTGAGAGCCAAGTGCGAGTTTACTTTACATTAGCTCAATGTCGATGGCGAGCACGTTTGGCGTTGCGATTGGTGTTGATTTCAGTGCGGGCCAATCACAACGCCTAATGCGGTCACCGTGACTATCGAGTAGATGAAAAATAAACCCACACTAGGGTCTCTGATCAAAGTTTATTTAAAACTTTAATAACAACTGCAAGAAAGCTTACAAAAGTTAACTTATTTACTAGCTTAGGCGTAGGAATTGGTTACTTTAAGTATTGAGATAATTAATGCGCTAAATAAGTAATATATTTTAAAATGTTTTTTTTTTCTTATTCAAGTCATAATGTGTTACGTGTATGTAAACTACCCTTACATTTTTAAATACCTAAAATCCTTGCTAAGGTTGTCTGTAAGAGTTAGCCTTGAGCGATAAGACCACCGATTGTTACTTTTACATATTTGTAACGCATCTTTTGTTATGCGTTAAGTGTAAACAATAAACATATAAAAATAAATAATATAATTAAATATGTTAAATTAACAACAAAATTCAATGATCTAATACTTTTAACAGTAATTGTACTTATTGACACAAATATTCACATTCGTGCATTGCTCACGGGGTAGGTCGCGAATTGACTAACTGCCAATATTTTAGTAATTCCAACTCTGCACGTTAGTTACATTTCATAATACTTTTGTAGAATAAGACATAACATTTCGTTTTGGTATCAAATCCTTTAAATTCGCGACGAAAAGACGCCCTAACGGTTTTGTGTTGAAGAATTTTAACAAGGCCTTTGTTAGCTCGTTTATAATGTCACGTGTTCTTATTTCGTGAAATAGAGCGTCTGTCGTCGCTGTCCAAACAGTTATACTACACATACATATAGTTGTCTAATACTTGGACACCCCCATTTTAATTAATATATTCATTGAGCTTCTAAAGGTACAATTAAAAACAGCATAAGACGTTCACCAACAAGTAGGTAATTGAAGAATGAATTAATGAATTTTGATTGAATCATATGGAAATAAAAATAAGTATAATATTTTAGATCTAAAAATCAGCAGTTAAAGATACAATATCATGTCAGTATAATGTCCCTCATAATATTTATATATTTGTCCCAAATTTTACTTTCCTTGCCTTGGCTGTATTTATATTTATGCATTTTGTCAAAATATGTGTTGTATAAGTAATAACTGTAAAGATCAACCTTAAATTTAAGTAAAATGAAAAACATCCTTACATCTTCATCATAAATCAATATACATTTCTAATAGAAATGAGCTCGCATCATAGAGCGACACAACAAAATGTGAGACAAAAAGAAAGGAAGAACAGCTAATCTCGGATTTCGTTTCATCCTTCTGCTAGACTGCCAACGAGTTACAATTAGAATATAGCTATGGAATTTAAAACGAAACTCGAACTCACATACAACGTTGCCGAGCCGTAAGTTAAAAGGCGTCAAAATAAAAATGTAAAAGGAGATGCGAAGCAGACGATCCTTGCGGAGATTGTAAGACTTCTTTGCGGTCTAACCCTCACTGCTCGATGGGTAATAACTCTGAACCATATAATATGTGTGACGAATAGTGGCCTAGATTAACTTTTAACTGTCTACACATTTTAATTTGTCATTAAGTTTACGGTACGCACCACAGAAAAAAACAAACGACAAATTTTCGAGATGGTTACTGGTTGAATTCAAATTAATAATAATAAAAAAAACGGCATTAGGAGTCTATGGACCCCCGGTTTACATTTTTTGTGTAAATAATCAATAAAAAAGGTTTAACCTACAGAAGACAAGCACCTTCAAATGTTATTCCTGCTGATGCGAATAACTGTAGTGGTTTGATGCACGTATTGAAACTGGGTATAGGCTCCAGAGTTATGTTGGGACACAAAATTTATGTTACCAAAGGGCCTGGTCCAAGTATCTTATTAAAATTTAAATGACCTGCCCTTTGACGTGATCAAATAGAATCAGGCGAGTTACCCGATTCAGTTTTTATAAAATACTTGCTATACCACATTGTGGTAGCAAAAACTAGGTAAAAACCGTCTTTGAAGCTTGTTGTATATTGTGTCAAAGTTTGAACTCAATCGGTGCAGAACTTTTTGAGTGTTTGAAGCGTACACGAAGCAACTTAACATTTTTATATACTTATATGAATTATATATGTAGATAGATGACGACTCTATTGTGACAAAATCAAAAGCGCCTGTGTCAACGGTTGTTAACAGAACTACCATGGCAACTAACCATGTTCAACATCCCTGTAGCTTTTAGTTGCCTGATAGTACGGGAATGTTGAACGGAGAATACTACTGCTAATCCTCAGTTGGGCGGTTACCGTGCACAAACTCCAGGGCACTACCCTGAAATTCCCAAAGGCAATCTTTATGTTGCGACAAGGCGCGTGAAGATGGTGTTGTTCTTTGACACTTAGAGCCACACAAAGACAATTTTTAAATTAGAACACTAAGACAAGCTACCAGACGCAAATTCTAGAGAGCTTTAGAAAATACATGAAACACTTAATAGTTACCCGTGATCCTCTTATCAGATCCTGACTTCGTGACAGTGAGACAACCTCAGGACTATGCTCATTCTAATAAAAAAAAATTTTTAGAATCGGTCCACAATTGACGAAGTAATCGGTGAACATACATAAAAAAAAATACAGGTTAAGATAGAGCCTCCTTCTGTTTGAAGTTGGTTAAAAAACTCCGCGTTTTTATATGACTATCTATACTATCTAATAAGGATAACTAACAGTAACCATTTTTTTTTTATCGTTCCGGGTGGCAGCGGCAGGCAGGATCGGAGCGGGCCTGTAAATACGAGTATTGTATATAAAGATGTCCTGTGGTATAGTCCTATCATTAAAAAGTATTATTAATTACTTCACACTAACACAACATAAGTACTATTAGTAGCATCTACATAGCTCCCGTGCGAAGCCGGGATGAATCGCTAGTGATTATACCGCTCCGTTCCTGCCAGGCGTCTGCACCCGGGACGGACGTAGGGCCCGACACATTTCACTCGCATTTTAAACCCCTAATATCTTCTAAAATATTCATTTTAAAGATTTGCTGTTTTGAGCAATTTTAATCTACAATAAATGCAGAATATATCTAAAGTATTTTATTGGATAAGGAATAATACAGTACATTATTTTGGTCTATCTTGTAAGGTTTAGAAAGTGTTTGCAATGTAAGCGCACAAAAACATGTTTTTTATCACAAATGTTTGAAATTCTCGAATTTTCTCTACTATAATATGCATGTATTATACATATAAACCTTCCTCTTGAATCACTCTCTCTATTGGTGAAAACAAAATTAAAATCAGTTGCTTAGTTTAAAGGATCTAAGCAAGTGCGTGCGTACTATTTCGGTCTAGCCCCCATCCGCTCATCCGCACTTCGTTCCAATTAATTTTTAGTCACAAGAGCATTCATTTACACACAAGACATTTAGACACAAGAACAGTAAAAAACATTAAAAAGAAGTCGTTTAGAAAACATTTTAAAGTTTTTCTCGTATTTTGTTACATTCTGTGAGAAACTTGTCCTGTTTATTATATTTACACCCCAGTTTAATTATTTTTACAACGTGTACTTCTCTTCACTTAAATTTACCACATATCTAGATGTGATGATGCAACAAATGTTTTAATGTTACTGTCACCTACAAAGACTCATCTTATCATCATCAACAGCCTTTAGTAGTCCTCTGCTGCACATAGGTTGGTTGGTTGAGTCAAGTTTTCCTTCTCTTTTCAGTGCTGTTGTAGTCGTCTCTTGCGACACCCATGGTAGGATGAATAGGGGTGGTAACACTCCACTTTGTTTAAATTATAATCATGAGTTTGTGAATGTATTGAAAGAATTTAGTCAGTTTCCATAGGAGTTTATAGAATTGATTCGAACAATTTCCTTATT